TTGAGGTTGGCTTGACCCCAACAGGGATGGTAAAAAAACATGACCATGTCAGGAGGTAATGTGTGGATGCACTTTGAATGGGGACAGGATGCATATGAGAGCCGGGGGGTGGACGACAAAGGGGGAATAATCAAGGTGCGTGTGAACTGGTGCTTGCGTAGGCGCGCATGCGCATGAGGAAGGTCAGGGACAGACGGATGCATGCGTTCGTTCACAACTACATTCCTCGTTGTTCAACCCCCCGGGGCACCTGGCGCAGCGCGACGCGCGCCGAGTCTGTGGCGCCGGCCAGCTTGTCGAGCGCCTCCCTGACTGCCGCGTCCACCATATCTGAATACTTTGACAGCGCCTTGGCGCTGCGCGGGCCGGCGGTCGACGAGGGCGGGCAGGGATTGAGGACGTTACTGGGTGAGGCCAGCTGGGAAGTGAGCACAGGCGCCCCTGCGCGCAGCTCTTGCTCACGTGTCAAAGCTCAGTCAGCCGTCCTCATTCCACCAGCTTGGACCACCGCTGCAACCACCACTATCTCGACAAGCAGCATGACGACGGCACCAGCAGCAGCAGCAGCAGCGGCGGCAGCAGCAGCAGCAGCAGCAGCAGCAGCAGCAGCAGCAGCAGCAGCAGCAGCAGAGCGACCACCAGGCGAGCACCTGCTGTCCGGCACCAGGCTGCTGAAGAGGTTCTCGCCGCCGCTGACATCCAGCAGGGCCGCGGGCGGCGCAGACTTCACCAGCAGGGCGCCCTGCGCACCAAAAGCGGGCCAGACCATAGGGTGGCAGCAGAGGGTCAACAGCGGGTCAAAGCGCGCAACGGGGGACGCGTGCGCCAGGGCTGGGGTGCGTGGCGAGCAGCGGTGAAAGAGGGCCGCAGGAGCAGGGCAGGCACCCGCGCGGCGAGAGCGCAGCGCTTGGGCCGAAGGGCAGGCCGCCAGCAGGCGTGCGCCCGTCGTCGCGCCGGCCCGCCCAGCGGCAACCGGAGGTCTCGGCTCCATCAGAACCGCACCCCCATCCTTGCGATCGGCGCCGCCGCCCAGACCCCGCAGGTGTCGGCAGCCGGACGCAAGGGAAAACGTCCCGACCCCGCACCGTGAGCGGCGGCAGGTCTGCGAAGGGCGGCACCCGCTCCAGGTAGACGGCGTCGTTGTCTTTCTGCGCCTTGGTCAGCGCCAGCGCCACGCCCTCCTCCAGGGGCCGCAGGCTGTCAGACATCTCCTGTGAACATGGGGGCGGACCGGGGGTTGCATTCATCAAGGTTAGAAGGTGTCCTGGGGGTTGTGGAAGCGAAGTGCCGCAGGGCAAGCTTTTAGGCGTTGCTCTGATTGTTTGTCAAGAGGGCTGGAGTGGAAAGGCAGCCACTGCTGCCCTGTGTGATTGCCGCAGCGTGTAAGGGAAGGACCATCGAAGGGTGCTGCTGGAAACCGGTGCCCGAAAAGCACCGACACACGCAAGTGGTTGTTTTGAGTGTGCGTGGGTGGGTTGCGCGCGTGTGTGCGTGTGTGTGTGTGTGTGCACATATGTGCGTTTCTATGCATGTGTGTGTGCGTGTGTGTAAGAGCATGTATGTCTGTGCGCGCGCGTATGTGTACATGTTTACCTGAGACACGGCCTTGGCCAGCTTCTTGGTGGCCTGCAGCCGTGTGAATGCTTCCTACAAGGGTGCGTGAGAGGGGGGGGTGCGCGCAGCAGCAGCGAAGATTGGTAGGATTCAGACGCAGTCGCATGAATGCAGAGGATGAGACAAGGAAGACAAGCAGCATGTTTGCAGAAGGCACGTGCAAAGCAACGAGTTCCTTATGGGGAGCGGGAGGGCTTCACACGGCGCCTTGGCCGACAAGGTGTGATCATCATATGAGTGGGTTCGCTTGTCGCTGTTGCAGCGGGTTGCAGGTAGAGCCCCGTCCCCGACGCAGTACGGCCAAGAAAGCTGAAAGGGAACGGGTACGACGTCAATCCAAGGCAATTGACCATCACGCCAGCCGTGCGCACCGCAAGGGTGGCAATCTCCTTGTTGATCTTGGTCTCAGACTGCAGCTGCTTGGCAGCTGCCTGGGGATGAGGGACGTTCAGTTTGCATGCAATGAGCAGGGGCGGAAGCAGGGTTCGCTGAAAAGTGACGGCCGAACATCAACACTGTGCAGCAACAAGTAACGTCTGCGCTTTACGGGAAAAAGGCCGAGAAGAATGCCGTGAGACGGCGTGAAGTTCTCACCGTGAGCGCCAGCACGTCCAGCAGGGAGCCCTTCATCTGGGTGTGGCTCGCCCACGACTTCTCAAAGTGGGCGGACAGCGCCTGATGGATCAGAAATAAATGAGCCGGATATACAATGGGGTTGAGGTGAAAATGGGAGCCTTGTTGCAGGGGTGCATCGAGGCACGAAACAAGGTGGAGGTTCTGGCAGCGCAGCAAGCAACAGAGCGAGCTGAAGCTTGCAAGACTGGGTGATCAGCAGGTTTTCGAGGGCGGTGTACGCCCGGCTTGAAGCTGGCAGCAGTTCATAAACCACAACCCCGACAAGGCCACGAAGGTCACGAAGGCTCCCGCACGGTCCGGCACCCCGAACCGCACATGAAGCGCGGTCGGCCCAGCACATGTCGCATCGCACACGCAGGGGTACGGCATCACCGAATCGCACCGCGCTGGTTCTCACCGAGGAGTTGAACGAGGAGGAGACCTCGCCGTACATGGTGGCGGCCTGCTTGGCCAGCTTGGCGACGACTGTGGGGCTCTTCTTGTCCATCACCGCCTTGTGGTACACACACTCCTGGTTTTGATGCATTTGCGGGCGGACGGGCGATGGCGCCCCGATTGCGTGAGCGTCAAACATGAAGCGTGTGAAAGAGAGAGATTGTGTGCGTGTAGGATGGGATGGGGGAAGCCTGTACCTGGAGATGGATCCAAAGCATTGACGCTGATAAGGAGAAGGGGTGGGAAGGCTCGCTGGAGAGTAAGATGCGTTGGCACTGCTTTTGCAGAGCACTGATTCAGCACAGCGTGAAAACGTCAGCATCAAAGGAAGCGCCCTGCGACAGGCAGCAGCGAGATACCACGCAAACACCATGCGGCGAAGCCCGCGACACAAAAGCCATGCCACTAGACGGTCAACTGTTGTCCGGCCCCACCCCCCCGGGGAGCGGAAGGGGAGGTGGCGTTCAACCCCACCTGCGCCTGAGCCAACATGAGCTTCTCCATCAGGGCGCAGCACTCGGGGCTCAGGTCCACGGGGCGGGGCGCGTCGCACTTGTTGGCCTCGTGGCTGAGCAGGTAGGAAAACACGCCGGCGGACTCCTGCGCGGACGCGCGCGCGTGTGTGTTCGCGTTCGTGTGTGAGGGTCTAGGGGCTTTTCCACGTTTGGGCAGGGCCTGGATAAATCGGTGGGGCTGATGGAGGACAGGGCTGTGTCGGCAGACGCGATTTGAGCTGCGTGTCCGATGCAGGAGGTTTCAGCCTTGTGAGCGCAGCAGCGCTTCAACAATTGATGCGGCACTCACATGAACAACCCGCCATGCATGCCGGGTATCCAAGGCTCCGCACCTGAAAGAGCTTGCAGGCCTGAGTGATGCCTTCGGGGGTGCCCCGCTCCACGTTTAGCGCCTGCTGGCTGCATGGAAAGAAGCGGATGGGAGAAGCAGCGGCAGGCGGGTGAGATTGCGACCCTGGAGCTGCCCTCCTGGAAAGAGAAGCCATTGACTGGCAAGATGCTCCATTACGGCCTCGGCTGAAAGGATTGCGCAGCTGTGTGGCGTGGGCGGAGTGCGTCGTAATTTGGCAGGCTGGGTCATCCAGCGCATGTGGGGCAAGATCGCACGCGCAGGTTGCCGGTGGGCACCTGAGGGTGGCGGCGAGGTTGAAGAGCACCGCCGCCTTCTCAAAGTGGATGTTGGACTGCTTGGCCTTGGAGGACGGCTTGAATGCGTCAAACCTTGGCGGCACGAAAAAACAACAAAGGGGCGAGGAGGTGAATGTGTGTGTGTGTGTGTGTGTGTGTGTGTGTGTGTGTGTGTGTGTGTGTGTGTGTGTGTGCGCGCGCGCGCGCCAAACTCCCGGGCCAAACATGGCGGCCTTGCCACCCTCCGCATTGGCACCCTCCTGAAGATGCACATAGTTGGCATGGGGCGCCGCCAGCGCGAACGTTCACGAGCTATACCCAACGCGTTCCCGAGACGCTGCATGCACCCCCCCCCAGGCACCGCGTGAAGCCGTGGGCCTGCAGCCACACCCCCAGCAACACCCCCAGCCACACCCCCAGCAACACCCCCGGCCACACCCCCGGCCACACCCCACCAGACGAAGGTGAGCTTCACGTGCCCCTTCTCGCCGCTGATGGGGAAACGCGTCTCGATGGACGTGAGGCTCTTGTAGTACCTGGGGTGGGATTCATGGTGGCGGCTGCTGGTTGAATACATATGCATTCATCGACAACGGGTGTAGTTGTACACCACCTTGCTGCGTTACGTGTAGTTGTACACCACCTTGCTGCGTTACGTGTAGTTGTACACCACCTTTGTGGGGTATGCATGCCCATGTATCTGCATGGAAACATGATGCTGTGGCGGTTCATGGCGGTTGGAACCAGACGTCGGAAAGGTGCGACGGGCAACAGCAGTAGGAGGAAAGTGGACGAGGCTGAGTAAAATGGGTGCGGGCTACTTTTGTTTCCCATTGATATAAGGATGCCGATGGAAGCTAGGTGAGGATTGCAGGGCGACGCAGTCCCCAGAGAGTCGTGTGTGTGCGCAGGGCGGAGGCGGGGGCTGCAGCGCTGGGATCAGCAGGATGCAGCCCTCGCGCGCGTGCGCACACACTTACACACAAACACACACATATACATACACATACACACACGCACACAAAAACACTAACTTACTTACACAAACACACTCATTCACACCTGCTTTCCTTTGTTGATAAGCCCTCACACAAACACACTCATGCACAACTGCTTTCCGTTGTCGATATGCCAACCCACCACCCCTGCCCCAGCCAATGCCTCAGCAGCTCCTGCAGCAGCCTCTCTCAAGAAACGCGCTGGCCTGTGCCCTGAAGCACAATGCCAAACCTGCCTAACCATACAGCTGCAGCTAAGGACCCCCATACCAGGTTGGCAAGTCAACAACGTATGACATGCGCTCAACCAATGAGCCGTGGCGCACGCTTCGCTCCAAGCAAACTCCTTCCATCTCCCCTCCCCGCCGGCCGTCAAGCCACCCGCACGTGCAAGGCTTCGGGGTACCCAAGATAATGCACACGCTGCTCCCGAAAAACGCAACACACACTCACTTCACGAGCGGCACCTCGCGCCGCGGGCCTGCGGCGCTGCCCTGCGCTGTCACGAGCTCGTTCCTGAGCGCCTGTACCGCCGCCAGGTCATCAGCGGCCTCGTCGGCCTCCGCGCTGGAGTACGTGTTGCGGATGTATGTGAGAACGGGGGTCTTCACATCCACCTGCTCTGTCTTTTTACAGTGTGCCGCCAGCATGACATGCTGAGCGGACGGCATGCTTGCGGCACGCGGCGCGCAACCGCGGTTGCCGCCGTCGCCTTCCTGGGAGGATATGAAGATGGTTCAGCTGCGGCGAGACACGGCGTGCTGCGCGGAAAGAGGGCGGGGATCATACGAATGAGGGCGGCGGAGTGAGTGCGGCGGGGTGAGAGGGGCCGGCGTCGATGGGGCCCCGTCCTTGATTGCATGGGAGCGTGCCAAGTGCCTATTGTAGACGACAGCATTGAGTGTTCTGATGTGGCGCTGTAAGCCGTGCCACCGCATCGACGCGCTTCGCACGATTCTTTTCAACTGTCGAGAAGCCGCACGTGTGCGCTGCATCGCCGCAGCCCGATCTCTTGTTACTTGCACTCCCAACGCGCGCAATCTAACCACGCATCTTGCCAGATCATAGACTGACCTTCACTGCTTGGCTCTTAGCGCGAGCAAACTGGCCTGCCTTGCGATATTTATGGCCTTGAGTATCAGATAATCACAGTGCGATCTCCTATCATGCCAGCACCCAGATTGACGGCACGGTGCCGACATATGAATGCATGCTGACTCGCTGGCAGCTGCTCAACGCGCATGGATTGCGTTGTGGTTCCATCGTCGCCTGCAATTCCCAAAGACATTGGTTTCTGCGCCACAGAACCTCTGCGCTGTTGCCTAAGTCGTAGTGGTATACCTGTCTCGCCCCTTGCCCAGAGTTGACTGCCCTTGACCCACACGTTGCAAGTTGCGTGCGACCAGTGCCGCAGCCGTTGTGGTGGGCTTGGCAACACCACCAGTCATGTATGTATAGGCGACAACTGCTGCCACCCGCCTGCAGCTCGCTGTATTCGCCGATGCGCATTTCCAGCCACAGGTGCCATCGCACCACGCGCATGTACAGAGAGCAGACTCAAAAATACCATGTCTGTCCTGTTGTCAAATGACACAAAAACCATGCCACATCATATCACATTAAATTTCACGGTCCCTACTCACTAGGACGGCCTACCCCACCTGAGCAGCAGATGGGAACGCGAGGGCTGACGTTCTCAAAAAGAAGCGCTGTTGGTGCGTCGGCTGTGGTCTATGGCCCTGCAAATGGCGGGGCAGGCTGTTGCACCCTGCAAGCAGGCTTCTACCATCAATGTGCTCACAGGTCGCGGGTTTTGAGTTGATCAGTAACCACTTATCGCGCCCCCCCCCCCTGCGACTGCCGCAGTGGACTGCCCCATGGTCCCAGGCAGGCTGGCTGGCGCCTGAGCGGTCGCACCCAAGCGTGCAGCCAAGGGAGCATGATGCACCAGACGGAAGCAGTGCGCTTGGAGCCAAGCACTGCTTCAACGCATATGGGATAGTTGACACTGCACTGGGCGGAAGGAGAAGCTGTTGCAGTAATGCCTGTGTGGTGCGCCCGTGTTGTGACGAATGTCTCTGCTTGCTTGAACGTGTGCAAGTAAAGTCTGAGCCGTTTCCTCTGAAGCGTTGCTTTACATCTGCAGCAGCACTCATACATCATCAGCGCCGTCTGCCTTATTCACAGCACGATGTGACTCACGAGTGCACAGCACGCACAGCACTGCGCCTCAATTCCGACCATGTAGGTCAGGAACCTAGAATCCAATCATAATCATGTTCTTGAACCCCTTTTCGATGCTGGGCTCCGTCCAGGCTCCTGCTGATGTTGATCTTCAGTTGTGACACCTCTGACGCCGGGTCGCTCGTTTTTAAGATTCAAAATGCTGCAAGTCTGAAATGGCCACGAGAGTAACCACTGGTATGCTCGTGCCGCAGCCTGCACGCTTGAATTTATTTCAAGCCAGCTCGCTTGCAGGACGACTAGACTGACACTTTTATACAGCTGTGTCGCTTAGTAGTAACGTGTGGGCTGGCCCATGCGTGTAGGTGCTGATGGACGCGGCGCGGCGCTGCGTGCGCTGAGCGACCTGCTGCAGACGCTTGAAGGCTGCGCTTCAAAGGTGCGAAAATCCGGCATGCAGCTACAGCGCTCTGCGATAATGAATGTCTGCGTCATAGCATGTTATCTGGCGAGTGGCTTCAGCTGACGATGATGGCACCCAGCACCTAGAGCCACAACTTTGCACATGCCTTCAAGCCCCTTCCCAGACGGGCCAACTCTCCTTCGTATCTTACCCAGGAAGACTGCAACCATGCGCTCGGCAAGCTGCTGGCATGGAGCAACGCCAATGCACCGCTGCTGTCCGCGCCCCGCGCAGCAGTACCACTGCTGCGAGCGCTCCGCGGCGCGCAGGCGGCCGCCACCGGGTGGCGGTCGCTGTCGGTGCCGCGTCAGGTGGCGCAACTCACCCTCAAAGCAGTGAAGGCCATCGCGGCTGCCGCCAACGCGACAGCGGCACACAGCACCGCTGCACCAGCTGCTGAGTCAGGAGGGGAACGACTGACAGACGAGGATGATGCGGACGGCGAGCGGAAGCCGTCCAGCAGCTGCTCCCGTGATCTGGAGGAGGAGCTGCTGCGCACAGCAGAGAGCCTGCTGGCCCTCGCAGCCTCCGCACCGCCCGCGGCCGCGCCTGACGCCGCCACGGCGTCTGCGCCGCTGTACGTCCAGACGCACGCGCTCGCGCGCTCGGCGCTGCTGTGCGTTCGCGGCTGCCTGGCGTCGCGGCCGGCGGTGGCAGCACGGTTCGTCGACCTTGTCGCTTGCGCTGTGCGCCTACCAAGCGGCAAACCGCCGCAGCTATTGCAGTCACCAGCCAGGTGTGACGAGCAAGGATGGCTGCTGCCCAAGCTGCAGCACTTGATCAAGCTGGGGTGCACTGCGCACGAGGACGGCAGCAGCAAAGGGGCGGATGGGCCAGGGCAGAGCAGCGCCTGCCGCAGCCCGACGCCGGCGCGCACGCCGGTGCTGCTCGCAGCCACGCCTCCACCGACGGGCGGCGCCGCAGCCGGCACCACTCGTGTGGACGATGGCGGCGAGCCTGGCGTGTCCCGGCGGCAGCATCTGCGGCTGCCCACTACTCCGCCAGCGTCGCCAAATCCCGCGGGAATCGGCAACGGCGGTGTTGGCGGCGGCGCGGCGAGCACTCCACAGTCTGCCGCCCGCACTTTGCCGGGTGGGGCCTTTGGTGGCTGCAATGGCGTTATGGTTACGCCCCTGCGCGCCGCGGCGGCCGCCGGTGGCGACGGCGGGGCGGCCTTTGCGCATGCGCAGGTGCAGCAGCATGCCCAGCAGGCTGTGTCTCTCGCGGTGTCAGGAGCGGAAGCATGGGCGCTCGTGGCGCAGCTGCTCGGGCCCCGCCTGCTGCGAGACAAAGCTGTCGGGCAAGCAATGCTGAACGTGAGCCGATGCCATGCACCCCACGCCAACTGGGGGCTGCTTGCGCGCCACGTGCCGCGAGGCCGGGCGGGTGTGCGGCGCGAAGCATGCGCCCTGCGCATGTATCCGCCGCCTCGCGTGCCCCTGCACGGCACCACAGCCCTACAAGCTTCCCTAATGGCCTCTGCACCACCTCGCCCCGCCCCACTTCCATCCCATCCAGATCATCGCCTCTGCCTTTAAAAGCGGCGTTCCGCTGGCCCTCCTGGCGGCGGCCTTTTCCGCATATGACACGTTCGCCGCCTGCTGCGCTGCCACAGGCGCTCTGGCCTCGCGCCGCGTCGTGCTGCTGCAGCCGGCGCTGTACGTGTTGAGGGTGGACAGGCGGCCCGAGGCGCGCGGCGCGGCGGCGAAGTACCTCCTGCGACTGATGGGCCTGTTTTTCCGCGGCGCAGCGGCAGAGGGCGCCGGCGCGCAGGGGGAGGGAGGGCTGCCCGTTGGCTCTGGGGCGCGGCTGGGGGTTGCGTCCACGGTCCTGTCAAAGGTGATTGCGCCGGCGGTGGCGCTGGTGACCAAGGCGGACGTCGGCGACGCTGCCCGCAGCGGCAAGGGCGCGGGGCGCGCCGCGGTGCGGGAAAGCGGCGGCGCGGCGCCCATAGCGAGCGCCGCAGAGGCGCTGCTGCTGTGCTGCGGCGCCGCGGCAGATGCGGCTCGCGCCTTGCTGGCTGCTTGGCGGGACGGCGGCGCTCTGCTGGCCCATCAGCAGGATGGCAGTGATCTCGGCCAGACTTGGCGGGCCGACGCGGCCGTGTTTGCCGAGGAGGCCTTTGGTGTCGTAGACGCACTTGTCGCCGCCAATGACAGCGCCGCACGCAACAGCGGCAGCGGCGGAGCCAAGGCGCGTTCCTGCTCGACGCTCGCTGAGTCGCTTGCGCACTGCGCCGCCCTGCTTGCGGCCGCGGCGCGCGATGACAAGCGCAGCGACTGCGTCCGCGACGACCCAGCCGAGCCCGCTGAAGTGGGCACGGCGGCTGCGGAGCAGCTTCTGATAGAGGGGTGGCTTCCCAGGTGGCTGCCTGCCTGGGACGCGCTGACAGCTGCGGCGCCGGCCGGGGCGGGCCAGAACCATGAGGACGGCGCGGCGGCGCAGCGAGACCCTGGTCAGCTCGTGCTGCAGGCTCTCGCTGCGATGTGCGGCTGCTTGCAGGCGAGTGGTCCACTGTTTGTACACGTCGCCGCTGCACGGGCTCTCAATGCTTGGTGTGATGGTACCTGTTGATGGTACTCGCCGGTTGTAATGCATGGCAGGGCTTCCATGGGCGTTGCGGCCACCTACCGTTCCTCGGTGCCACGACCCCTCCACCTGTCTGCCATTCCCACTCGTCTGCCCGTCCCACTCGCCACACACAGGAAATTGCCGCCATCCGCAGCGCCGCAACCAGACGCGCCCTGGTGCACCCGGCAGTTAGCCACGTGCTCTCGGCCGTCCCAATTGCGTGGCTACGCACCCCGCTCCCTCCACCGCCGGCCGCCGCGGCCGGCGGCGCCCCGCGGCCCGAGCAGGGAAGCGCCAGCGCGGGTGCGGCGCTGGCCGGCGTGCTGCTGCAGGCGCCGCCGGCGCGTGGCGCGCGTTCTGAAGCCCTGCAGGAGGCTGAAGCGGCTGGCGGCGGCCCTGCCGCGGCGGGCTTGTCAGAGTTTGAGTGGCTGGGCCTCCTGTCGCGCTGCGTCGAGGCCGGCGGCGTGGGGCTGCACCAGTGCACGGCGCTGCTGCGCTCCCTCAGCCTATGGCACGCCGCCGCGCCGGGGCACCAGGGCGGCGCCTCAGACGCATCAAGCACGTTGAGGCTGCACGCCTGGGCAGTCGTTGCGGTCTGCTTGGAGCGCCAGGTGCCTGGGACGGTGGCCGCGGCGGACGCGGCGGCGCTCAGGCGAGACGCCCCCGTCGCGGCGGCGACGAGGGACGCCGTCGTGGCACGCGTGGCCGAGGCGCTCGCGCCGGTGTCTGGGTGGCTGCGGCGCGCCGGCGCTGCCGCTGGCGGCAAGGAGGACGGCGCGGACGCCGCCGAGTGGCGCAGCGCCGCCTCCGCCGCGGGGCGCACGTGGGCAGCGCTGGCGCGCGGCGCAGCGGCGGCGGTGGACGCGTCGGCGGCGCGGAGGGGATCGCGGCTCTCAGACCTTTCCCCCCTGCTGAAGCTCGCCGGCGTGATGCGCGGTGATTGGTGCGGCGGCCGCGGTGCCGGCGGCGCCGAGGATGGACTTGACGAGGTGGCAGGTGAGGGATTTGGGCAGCAGGCACCGGCTGCTGTGCATGGGCAGCACCCCCACCCCCACCCCTAAACCACCACTTATCACTGCGCAGAGCCAGGCATGTCGCCAACCGAGCTCCGCGCATCATTTGCATAGCACGGCGCCAATGAAGCCAGGCCTGTGGCGGCCCACTTAGCACGCCCCATTGCCCTTGCCTTTCCTGCGCCCCAGACGCCAGCCTGCCTGCGGTGGTGCCCATGGCGGCAGCAATCTCATCAGTCTGCGCTGCCCTGTACCCCGCCATGGCGCTCGCCGGCGCTGGCGGCGCCCGCCTTGTCAGCGGCGGCGGCGGCGGCGGCGGCGGCGGCGCCTTGACACCCACCAAAGGCACCCCTCTTGGGCCCATGCGCGCCAGCGCCCGCACGCCGCAGCGCTCTGCACGCTCTCCGGGCCCGTCGCTCGCGGCGCCGCCGACGACGGTTGACGGCGCCGCCGCGGCCCCGCCGCCCGACGCGCGGCTTGTGTCGGCGTTCGTGCAGCCGGCGGCGCGGCTGGCCGCCGATGCCGCGCTGACGGCGCTGCGCGGCGCGGCACGCGCGCTGCGAAGCGACCCCATGGACGAAGAGGGCGCAGTGCAGCTTGCTGCCGAGGCGGCGCGGGCCGTCTCAGACCTCGCGTGCGCGATACCCCACCCGGAGGTGCTGCGGCCGCTCCTGGACGCCTTGGCGCCGCTGCTGGCGGCGTGCGTCGATCTCGCAGGGGCGGGCGCGGCGGAACGCGAAGGGGCGCAGCGCGCGGAGGGCGCAGGAACCGAGCAGCTGGTGGACGTCGCGTGCAGCCTGTGGTGCGGCGTGCTGCGGCACTGGACGGCCCTGCCCGTCACGGACGCGTCGGCGCCCCTCCTCCAGGGGTGCGTGAGCTGGACACGACCGCGTGCTGCATGAATGCGGCTGCATGGATGGGGACAAACTGGGCTGCCGCTCGCCGCATGCGCAGCCGTCCGAACTGCCTGCCGCGCCTGTCAGCCTCGCCGCCCGTCGCAGCGCCCGTCTCAGCCCCAGCTCGCCCCATGGAGCATGCATGCCCCTCGACAAGCAATGGCAAAAATGATAAATGACCGTCCTCGCAGGTGCCTTGACGACGCCTGCGACATTATCGCGGCCGCCCTCGCCTGCGTGCGGCGGCCGCAGATGAGGGCGGCCACTTATCAGTCCCTGAGCCGCCTGGCCGAGGCTGCGGAAGGCGCGGGGGCGCACCTGCGCCTGGGGCCCGAGATCTTGGTGCGCCTGCAGGAGATCGACCCGGCGGCCAGCCTCACCGGCAGCCAGGCAGCCGGCGCGCTCAACGGCGGCGGCGGAGGCGCGATTGCTGCGGGCGCATGGCGCGGGGGCGTGCGGGGCGAGAGGGGGGCCACCACTCAAGCGGGCGGCGCTGTGATGGGGCCGCCTTCTGCGTCTGCGGCGGCGCCATCCCCGGTGGCGGCAGCGGCGGCTGTAGCAAAGGAGGAGCCGCGGCAGCAGAGGCGGCAGCAGCAGGATGAGTCAACCGCCAAGCGCCAGAAGCCAAAAAGACGCTCTGTTCCACCCTTTGGGGAGGCTTCGCAAACAGAGTATGTGGCCATAGCCACTACCGCAGGCGCCGGCGGTGGCGTCGGAGGCGGCAGCGGCAGTCGGAAGAAGCGACGAGCTGTGGGGGTGAGCCTTTACAACAGCACTCTGGACGGCAGCCAGTCGCAGTCCGCATGGCCCCTGAACGACGGCAGCAGCGGCGGCCGCGACGGCTGCGGCTCGCTGGAGCCGGGGCTCGGCACTTCGGCGGTCGCGGCGGCGGGTGGGCAGGCGTTTGGGCAGGACGTCCCGGCTGACAGCACCGCAGGTGGCGAAGCGGCGGATGGGTTGCCGCCGCCGAGGTCGCCGCCCGGGCAGGAGCAGGGCCAACAGCAGGAGCAACAGGAGCAGCAGCAGCAGCAGCAGCAGCAGCAGCAGCAGCAGCAGCAGCAACAGCAACAGCAGCCCCAGGGGCAGGGAAAGCCACTCAGACAAGGGGAGCATCACCCACACATGTCAGACAAGCAGCAGCAGCAGCAGCAGCAGCAACAGCAGCAGCAGCAGCAGCAGCAGCAGCAGCAACAGCAGCGGCAGCAGCAGCAGCCGGAAGGGGCCGACCAGATGGACGTCGACGGCCACACGCGGCCCGCGGCCCCCGAGCCGCCCGCCTGCCTGCAGCTGGGCAGCCAGGCGGCCATTGAGGAGGTCAGCAGGCTCGTGTCGGCCCTGCCAGACTCTCAGGGGGACGCCTCGTGGGGCGGCGGCGAGGGGGCCGTTGACGGGGTTCCCAGGGCAGGGCTTGCCGTGCTGTCTGCTGCCAGGGAGCAGTCAGGGCCTGCAAGACTGCAGGCCATTGCTGGGGTGGCGGCAGCAGCAGCGGCGGCGTCACCAGCCGGGGAGGCCACGCTAGGTCAGGGCACGGCGATTGATCAGGAAGCAGAGGCAGGCTGCAAGCTGCAGGAGGAGCGGCGGCATGGGAAGATCGAGGGCGCGGCGGCCACTGCCGCCGCCGCTGCAGATGCCCCCTCCTCGGGCGGCAGGGGCCGCCGCAAGCGCAGCAGCGGCGGCGAAGGGGCTGGCAAGGGCGGCAAGGCGCCGCGGGTCGGGCAGGAGGGCAGGTCCGGGGTCGCCGGCCGAGCTGAAGTTGAAGAGCAGGGGGATGGAAAGGCCGGCGGCGACCGCGCCAGCAGCATGGCGTATGGAGGGTCGAGGGAGGGAGCTCTGGCGTCGAGCATGGGGGTTGGGGGTGCTGCCGGTGGCGGCGCGCAGCCGGACGTTGACTGCGCCGCGGATCAGGATGGTTGCCGGGTGGCAGCGCCCGCGGCGGCTGAGCGTCAGGTACTGGGCGTGGCGGCCAGCGAGCAAGGGCCGGCTGTTCAACAGGTAACACAGCAGCAGCAGCAGCAGCAGCAGCAGCAACAGCAGCAGCAGCACAAGCACCAGCACCATACGCCGGCTCACCATCAAGATGAGCAGCAAATGGTGCAAGACCGACGGCAGCATCCACCCTGCTCGAGCAGGCCGCCACATGGCGCCTCTGACGGAGCGCTCGCGCCGGCCATCACTCTGCCCGACGCGCCGTCGGCGGCCATGGACCCTGCTGCGCCGTCAGCGGCGCCGCCGGACGCCCCGCCGCCGCCTTCGGAGCCTGCGGGGCCGCCGCCTGCCGAGCGGGCGCCAGACGAGTCGTATGCGGAGCTCGAGCTTTTCAGCACCCAGCAGCTGGCCGCCGCCTGCGGCCTGCCGCCGCTCGGCGCCACAGCCGCGCGGCCGCTGCTCAGCTGCTCCAGCGCGCCCGCCCGCGCGCCAGCAGCCCCGCCCCGCGCGCCCGCACCCGCGCCTGCGCCCGGCGCCGGCGATCTGCGGGCCGCCGTGCGGGCGGCGTGCGGCGGCATCGCGGCGCTGGACGCGGCCGGGCTGTCGGAGGTGATGGGCCTCGCGGTGGAGCTGCTGGAAGCTGCCAGGCGGGACATGCAGAGGCGGCTGGCGTGAAGAGGGGCGCCCGCCCTCGCGCCGCTGGGGCCTGGGAGGCGCCGTCGGGTAGCAGCCTCTGGGGGCTTTGTAGGGGGGTAGGGGTGGGGTTGGCGTGCGGCGGACTTTGCCTTGGCTGCCGTCCTGTTGGTACACACAGGTGTTTGATTCCTTACTCCTTGATACGACTGTTGCCTCAACTGCCTCAACTGGAGGATACCCGCCCGGAATGACTGCCCAGACTGTGTGAGCGCTCGTTTTCCCTGACCCAGCCATATTCAGTTTTGTCTGGCTGGTAGTTGTTGCCTCCACTACCCATGGGGGTGTGTCAGGGTCGACCCTTTTCCCAAGAACTCCTCCCTCAACACCTTACATGCAAAATCTATCGTCCTGTCAGCTTTGCAGAAGCTGATTTGAGCATTTTCGGCCTCCGGTAAGGTTGGACACTGGCCCGTCAGCAGCAGCGCCCGCCTCACAGCAGCCGGCTCAACTCTGATGCCAGCATCACCCTTCTGCTGAGAATGCCATGCCCAAGCACCCCAGCCGCGGGTCACGCTGGATGAAAAGCCTGGGCACGATTACAGGCGAGCCCCACAAGCCCCACAGGGTTGCAGGCGCCGCTCCCCGAGGTCGCGCGCTGTTTCAAGACAGCCAATGACAGATTCTGTGCCGAGGCGGCGCGCCCGAGGCGCCCGTGTGAAGGAAGGAGGCATCTCGGCGCGGATCGCAGGGGCTGGGGAGGGCATGAGGGGCAAGGGCTGGGGTCGGAGCGGGGGGCAGGGGACGGGGGCTTGCGGCGCCACTTACAAACCCATGAGAGCAGAACACCGCCACCAGGCCGTCGCCACCCCAGGCAGGTTGCCCAGGCCATTAAGGGGGGGCGGGGGCGGGCGGACGCGGTCTATGATTTGGTCCCGGGCCCGCCAAAGAGGAGCCGACAGCGGTGCAATGTGAGCGCAATGAGAGCAAAGCTCGCCCTCGCTCCCCCCCACCTGAGCGGCCCGGCCCTGCCCTGCCAGGGCACCCCTGCCCCCTGCTCGCCGTAACAACTGTGGCCTTACGAATGCTTCCCAAACAAACCTGGGGCCAACAAGGTCATTCAACAGTCAAAGGCGGGGCCACGCCCCTACCGCCCTCCTCGCGCGGCGCCTGCGTCCCCCGCTGTGGCGGCAGGTGCAAAGGGCAGCGGCCGGCCGGCAGCGTGGGGGCCGGGGGATGAAGAGCGAGAAAGGGCGTGGGCCGCCGCGGCGCCACAAACGTCCTGGGAATTGCTGGGAGAAAACACCATGATCAAGCAGGGGCGGGAGGGATGCCCCCCAAAGCGGCGAGCCGCACCGCGCCACGGCCGACGCATGGTAAAGGGCTGACATCTTGGGGTTGACCGGTCAAAATTCGCGCGCGCCCCCCGGTAAGTGGCTGGCGGCCTTGCCCAGCGAGGGGGGCGCTGTGCCGGGAGCGGCTGGTCGCGTCAGAAGGAAACCAGTCATGATTCGTGCATTTTTGGCCTTAGCAGATTTGACCGTGGTACAAAGCAGCGCCGGCTGCCGCAGCGCCCTGCATCTTCGTCCCCAAAAGCATTCGCCCAGTCACAGGGGACGCCCGCAAACGGCTCGTGCGGCGCGGTCACGCCGCCGCCTGCACTCCGTCTGCAGGGACCTCCATCAGCGCAGCCGGCGCATCCTGAGGCACCTTGGGCGGCGCGGGCGCCTCCTCCGCTGCCACGCTCCCGCCTGAGCCGGGCTCCTCGCCGGCGGCGTGGGGTGCTGCAGCGGGCGCCGCCGGCTCGGGGGGCGGCGGCTCGACGGCGGCGCTGGCCCCTGCTAGGCCAGATGCCAGCTCCCCCTCTGCTGCATCTGCAGCCACTGCGGGAGCATGCGGCGTGCCGGTTTCGGCCCCAGCGTAAGGGACCGGTGCGGCCTCGGGCGGCGGCCCGGCTGCCCCCACTGGGGCCACATTCTTCTCGTCGTTCTCGGCTTGCTGCTGCTGCTGCTGCTGCTGCTGCTGCTGCTGCTGCTGCTGCTGCTGCTGCTGCTGCTGCTGCTGCTGCTCAAACAGTGCCTGTTGCTGCTGCTGTTGTTGCTGCTGCTCAAGGGCTGCTTGTTCGAGCTGCTGCTGCTGTTGCTGCAGCTGCTGCTGGTGCAGCTGCTGCTGGTGCAATTGCTGCTGCTGCTGCATCTGCTGCTGCTCGCGCTCTGCCGACCCGGCCAACGCCTCCGCCAGAGCATGCGCCGGCTCGGCCGCCACCGCTCGGGGCGGCGGCGCCGCCTGCAGCGGCGCGGGCGGCGTCGCGAGCTCGCGGGCAATGTCCTCCCCGAACAGCGACTGCAGCACCTGGTGTACATCGTCCCCAGTCAGCCCCGCTGCGTCCGCCCCCAGGCCGGCCAGTCCGCCTGGCGGCGCCGCCGGCCGCGCCGCGCTGGGCTGCTGCTGCTGTAGCGCGGACCCGAGGCCAGCGTAGCCGGGCGCGCCGCCCTGGCCGTACAGGCCGCCGCCGCCGCCCGCGGCGCCGGCGCTGGGCGTGGGCGCGCCGAAGCCGCCGGGCGCGCCGAGGCCGAGCACGCGCGCCAGCAGCGCGGCCTCGGTCTGCTCGTCCATCCCGCCTGTGCTCAGCGGCGCGACGGGCGGCAGCTGCTGCTGCCCGCCGCCGCCGCCGCCGTCGCCGAGGCCGCGCAACACGCCCCCCAGGTGTGACAGCGCATCCCCGCCCAGCGCGCCGCCGCCGACGCCATTGCTAGCGCCGAGCCCGAGAGGCGGCAGCCCTAGCGCGCCGCCGCCGCCGAGCGCTCCGAGCAGGCCGCCGCCGCCGCCGTAGCCGCTGCCGCCCGGCGCGCCCCAGGCGCCGCCGGGGAGGCCGCCGCCGTAGCCCACGCGTCCTGTGGCGGCGACTGCGGCCGTCTGAGGGCTGAGGTCTTGCATGGAATAGTGGCCGTCGACGCCGCTGGCGGGGAGCGCCGACAAAGCCTGCACC